AAAGTAACTGCTCATTGAAATTAAGGGAAGCTTGACAGACTTTTGTGAGCAGATTTTGGGGCCTGAGAATAACTCGCGTCTCAGAGACGCTATTGGAACAGACTCCACGACTGAGAACGCGGTCTCTGTCACTTAACTCGAAAGTCCCTCCTGGACCCGCACAGTGAAGCGTTAAGGAAATGCAATCTTTTTTTTTTTTTTAAACATATACAGCAAAGTTTGATTTGCTGAGAACATTTCTTCAACTGACAAGTTACAAGCCATGTCTGAGAGGCCCACTGGGAACTTTCAGAATTTGAGCAGCAGTTTCTAATCACTGAAGATCATTAGCATTTTAGTGAATAGACTTTTGATAAGAAAAATCTTTGCTCTGAAGGAAGAAGAAGGAAAAAAAGCCCTGACGTTTGATAGTGCAAACTGAGCAACAGTTTTAATTAGGTCTCCTGCATCCCTTGGTTCTGCAAATATTGCAGGGGCCTAGATGCTTTCCGTACTGTGGGCTGTGACCTTGGGTGGTGTTAAGGTCGGTGGTACTGGGCACCAGGCCACAGCTGGGTCTCAGGGAGAACGTAGAGCCACTGCTTTCTGAGTACTTACTCTGTGCCAGATGCTTTGTTGTTTCATGGGCATTATGTCAGGTAGTGTTCAGATCAGTCTTAGTGCGAAACTACTTTAATTATTATTACCCCATTTTGCAGATGGGAAAACTAAGGCTTAGAAAGTTTCTCTAACCCCAAATCACCAAGGTTATTAGTGAAGGAAATGATAAACCAGGTCTGTGCGGTTCACGTATCCACATTTACTTCCTCCCAGATACCATTCAAATAGTGATGGGCTCAGCGAATAGGAAGAACTTTTTCGCTGCATCTGTCACTAGTGTGTGGGGAGTCCCATGATCTAGCTTCAGACTGTACTATCACTCATACCTCCTTCACTGGAATCTTGGGGAGCTCCGTACTTAGGGGCACATTTTCCCTCTCAGGGAACTAGATCTTAACACTATGTGTCTCCTTTCTGCTGATCTTAACTCTGCCATACGGAGGAACTCCGAAGTTTGCCTTGTGAGCTTCAGGAAGTCATCACTGGTCTTTTGGAGTTTATTGTCTTTGAACTAAACACCTCCATTTCCTTCCTTCAGTCTATACACGCTTGACACTGAGTTTCCATACTCTGTAGCACAGGTGCTTGTCTTAGTCACTTTCCTTATTGCTGAGACACCATTCCTGACCCTGCAATTTAAAGAAGGAAGGAGAGGTTTCCCTCGGCTAGTGCTTTAAAGACTGCAGTCAGCGGCTCCAGGACAGCAAGGCAGGTGGAAGGGGCTGGCTCATGTCATGGCCATCAGAAAACAAACAGGGAGAAACTCAACCTTTACTTAATTAAAGTAGTGTGTCTTCTTCTTTTTTTCTTTAATATTGGTACCAGGGATCGAACTCACACCCATGCACTTGCAAGGCAGGCACTTATGCCACTGAGCTAAATCCCCAGCCCCAAGTTAGGTCTTCTAAATTCCTTTCAGTATTGCCTTATAATTTCAATGTTGAAGGCTTACACATGCTTTATTAAGTTTATGCTACAGTATTGGATGTTTCCCAAGCTATTATAAATATCATTTTTTAAACACTACTTTCTAGCCATTTACTCAAAGTATAGGAATGTAGTTGAACCTCGTCCTGATTTTATACCTTGATATTCTAAATTAGTTTTTAATTTCAGGAGGTTCATGTTGGTATATTTTAGTAGATTCTTCAGGTGCTCTGTGAATATAGTCACGTCATCTACAAATAGAGACAATTTCAGTTGTGTTTTTACAATCTGTGTGCCTTCTATTTTTCTTGTCATACTGCACTAGCTAGGCTGTCCCTCTTTGTGCGCTGATTTTGGTAAAAGTCAGTTTTGCAAAACGTCTGAGGTCATTTTTCTTTCTCCTTTTATCCTCTCTCTTTCCCTCCTTCCCTCTCTCTGTGTAACTAACAGGTTGCAAAATCCCCTTTACACACACAGAGATACTTTTCCAGAGTGTACAAAAGTGAAAAGAAGGTGGCTTTCGTTCACCTTGCGGTGCGGGGCAGAGTTGATTGCACGCTGGTTGCCAGGGCGGTTTGCCAGCTGTTTGTCCTCTGCGCCTGCTGGGTAGAAGCATTGCACTTCTTGAATGCCTTAAAGTGGGTGCTGCCTTGCGACTGGTTTTAGCCAAGAAATAGGTACTGAAATGATGTGTGTCACCACTGTACCAGGGCATTAAGCTATTAATAGCGCAAGGGCTTCCTGAACTCTTTTTATTTAGCACACTACTCAGTGACGTTGAGATAAATTCATCTGCGTGGATCTCAGAGTATCTACACTTAGCAGGGCCCTCACTGCCAACCTGCAGGGGAGCTATGGCTTGAGGTAGAAATAAAATTTTATTGTTTGAAGGCACTGAAATTTTGGGATTATTTGTTATAGCAGCAGTGCCTAGCCTATCCTGATAAAACTTGCATGATACTTCAAAAGCGAGGTGGCCAAGCAAAATGGTAAGTGGAAGCAATGTAAGATCATTTTCTTCTCTGGGCGAGACAAAGAAAAATATACCGCTAGAGAAACCAGCGGTGAGTCAGGGCCCAGAGTCTCGTGTGGGTCTCCCTGGGACCAACACATAGTAAACATTTAAAAAGCCCGCTTTTACTAAACCCGCGTTCTTCCTTCAGCTTGTGCTCTGCATAATTAAAAATATGGCGCTTTCCTTTCTCCCGCTACGTTTTTTTTCCCTGCAAATGGAAATAACAAAAACAACTCGTCCTCAGGAATTGTCGGGAGAAATTGTGCTGATTACAAAGTGCTTTGCAAAATATAAAATCCTGTCTAAGTGGCAATTTCCTCCATCGCTCTGCCAGTTGTAATAAATAAATATTGTGTTTAAAGCCGGCTCCTGGCTGGCTCTCCCGCGGTCATTCCATCAAACACTCCAGCATGCCTGGGGTTATTGTCCACTCCGGATTTGCGTGTGTGTGCATGGCGCTTGTGTAATGCTGTTTGCTGAGGGTTGAGAAAGCTCATCTTCTAGCAATAAAACTTGAGCACAATGTCATAGCCCATTGGAGAGGTGATGGGTCAGAACAGCTCACACAGGAGAAGCGAATGTGTGCTCCCCAGGGGAAAGGAGCTTGCCTCAGCCACTTCCGCAGCCCTGATGTGCCTGGACGAGGAAATGTTTTCTGTGGCTATTAAAATGTTTTGGTTCTAGGGCCAGCTTGGATTGAGGCCCTCGCTTCCTGGCTCTGGGTAGAGCCCTGGATAGGGTCCAGGAGCTCCCATAAACTATGCACCTGCTGGTGGTTAAACTTGTATTCACTGACCACTTACTGTGACCATGTGCTGGGAACGGCGAAGAATATAGAAATTGTTCACACGGTCCCCAGCTGCAGCAAGTTCTTAGCTGCTAAAGGGTGAGGGGAGAAGCTATTTGTTCATTTGCTCATTTATTCGTGCGTAACTATCCATTCAGCCACTGATTTTGCCAATACCAATTCCACTAATATTGACTGGAAGCATTCCAGGTACTATTCTAGCTACGAAGGTCTCAGCCCTCAGGGGGCATGTGTTCTAATAGAGAGATAAAGCATTAATTAGGCACTTATGGTAAAAAAAAAAAACCTTTTTATTATAAAGTATGGTAAGAACTTCAGAAGAAATGCTTTAGGTGTTGTGAACAAACCCAAAGGCAACAGACTTTGTCAGAGAAAGGCAGAAAGGAAGGCTTCTCGAGCCAGTGACTATTGGGCCGAGACCTAGAGGGTGGGTTCAGAGCTACCTCATCTAGGGTGGGACAGGCTGGGAGGAGAACAAAGTCAGACAAGACAAGCGATGCACTTCATACAGATTACATTATAGCCCCAGCCACAAAAGAGGCTGGCCCTGTGAAGGGAACTGGAGAAGGCTTTCCCCAAAGGCGGTGCCTGGGCAGGACTTAGAAAAACAGGAAGGACTTTCACAGGCGGGTATTCTAGAAAGAAGAGGAGGAACCGCACAGGCAAGAACTCAGAGACAAGAGAAAAGAGGAGGAAAGCAGGGCAGTCTGTGGAGAGCCTGAAGGCCAGACGAGGGAATTAGCTGTACTCTCCTATGGCAGTAAGATGTCACTGAATGTTTTGGACCAAGAATGCGATAGAATCAGAATGCTTGGGTGAGAAAGTCCCACTGTCCCCCTCTGGAGACAGCCTTATGTACAACCCCAAAATTGTCAGAGCCTCTGGCCACCCTTGCGCCCACAGAGGGGTTCCAGTGGTCAGCTTTCCTCTGTCCCGAGACCTTGAGGAGACAACACAGGCCAGGCAGGAGAGGATGCAGCATCCTGAAGCCGGAGCCTTCACCCTCAGTGACAGAGAATAAATGCATGAGCACTGTACCCAAAGTGGCCCAGAGCAGGGAACCTGTGACTTCCAACTGTGGTATAAAAAAAGACTGGCTCTGAAAAAGAGCCTTGGTATTAGTTTTGGGACTCTCGGGTGCAAAGGAAACAACCCAGTGCAATCGATGATAGGAATAAGGAGCATCAGTGGACTCGTGGGACTGGGTACCTCCAGGGGCTGGCACAGGCTTTGGCATGGCTGAGTCCAGAGCTTAAACCAAATGCTCAGGGTCCTCTCTTCCTCTTTCCATTGTTTGGGTTTGCCTCCATTTGTGGGCAGGCCTTGTTATTTTCTACTGCGGTGCAGCTTCCTTGATGCAGGTAAAGAAAAGAGCCATTGCTCTATCTTTATATTGCAGCAGATAAGAGGGAGTTTCTGTGCCTGAAAATCCCATGGAAGGCTCTGACTGGTGGTTATGAGTCACCTACCCATCTATTGGGCCAGCTGCTGTGGCCAGAGGAAAGAGTGGGCCTGGATGGCCAGGCCTGTCTCAAGCCTGACTTGCATCCCTAACAAATCACACCCAGTGAGGCAGAGCAGAGCCTCAGTAGGAGCAAACCTGAGCTAACAAATTAATTTGATCCTTTTTTCATTCTGTTCACTGTACAGGATATGATCCTTGCAAGTGTTTATAGGTAAGATTGTTCATCCCAGAATTCCAGGAGGCAAGACCATGGAAGAAGAAGGAGGAGGAGAAGGAAGAGGAAGAGGAGAAAATAAAGAGGACGAAGAGAAAGAAGAGGAAGAAGAAGAGGAAAATTAATAGTTTACTTTTCAGGAGTCTTGGCTGACTTCCCTTCTTTTCCAAAGTGTCCCTGGACTCCCCATCCCAGCCAGTGACACCTGGCTCCAACTTAGGTTATATACTGCATCTGTGGGTTACCTCACACGGCTCAGAAAGCTTTCAGTCTTCCCACCTGCCTGCTTCCCCCAGCCAATATTTTGTAAATATTTTTTATTCTCAAAAATACATTTTAAAAATATACTTTAATCAGCTTTTGAAGATAGGAATGATAAAAGTTTCAGTGTGACAAAATAAATCTGCTTTCAGTAGGGTCTAGTTGTTCCTTTCTGGGATTTTTTGGTGCCAAAAGTAATGATTCTGTTATGTTGGAGGAGTCCCAGTAGGAAGGTGATCTGGGCTCTGGCTCTGGGCTTGCCTCTGCTCACTCTGTGATCTTGGACAAGTCTTTTACTCTCTCTAACTCCGAGTTTACCCATCTTTACCGTGCTGTCTGGTGGTGGAGCTCACAGCCTCTGGCCCTGGAGGGCCAGTTCTTTATTGGTGAAATTACCTTGCCGAAGAGATCCGTTGTCCCAAGTTCCTCACAAGTTCCCTGGCTGCCCCACAGGGCACAAGTGGTTTCTACCCACCGGCTTCCCTCTGAGGACTTCAGAGTTTGGAACCCATGGCTTGAATTGAGGTGAGTAACAAACTACAATCCAGTGTCCTGAAGCCCCTGGCCCAAACCCACTGGCAGGAGCCCACAATGAGGACCTTGCCCAACTGTGATTTCTAAGAAACAGATGTGGAGTCACAGAAACCCAGGGCTGGAAGTCCTGAGAAGCTCCTGTGGAAGACTCCCATTCTATACTGCAGAGTTCTCCCTAGCCCCAGAAACACGCTTCTTCACCACTGCTGCCCCAAACTGCCATGACATGTGCTCATTCCAGCCTCAGGCTTCTCAAGTGTCCAGTTTGCCTGTGAAAACTCCCGTCAAGTAAAAAAACCAGACTGCCCTAGCCCTGGGACCCCCTTTTACAGAGGTCTCAAAGTGAGATGAGGAGACAGATAAAGGAGGAAGCAGAGGGTAAGGAGGAGGCGAGAGGTGCCAGGCACTGAAAGCTCAGTATGGCTGTGGTGGTGACCACATGGCAGGAACAGGAAAAATAGGCAGACCTCCAAGGATGAAGAGTGTAAGCTCTGTTCCTCTGAAGGAAGCCAGGTGAGGGAGAAACTGCCCTTTGAATGGGCCTTGGCGAAGAATGGTCCTTGGGATGAAGAGCCGGAGTCTGGGAGTCCTGCTAGGAGAATGATGTGCAGCCCTAAGGGAACTGATGGACACTGTCCCCAGGACATCTAACTTGGGGGTTTGTTGAAGGAACCAGGCAGGTGGGAAGATAGCAAGCTTGCCTGAGCCGTGTGAGGTGACCCGCAGATGTAGGAGATCACCTAAGTTGGAGCCAGGTATCACTGGTCAGGATGGGAATCCAGAAATGCTTTGGAAAAGAAGCAAAGTTGCCCTGGTGTCCTGGGGCATGTGCGATGCTTATTGGCGCCATCTGAGGATTCCAGGGACAGTAGTAGCTGTGGGGTATTCAGAGCAAGTGCCCAGATTCGTGTCTACCCCACGAAGACCGCATTCATATCTTACTTCCATGGGCCTCTGAGAGAGGCAGCTCAATTCACCTGGTGCTACACTGCAAACTGTTTAAAACAGGGGCCTCACCTCCCTCTGAAACTTCCTCTGGGAGGGCTCTTGCTCATGGGATCCTCGGGGGTCAGTAAAGCCTGCGGGGGTGACTGGAAGCCTTAACAGCCTAAAAGAGCCACTGATTCTTGGAATGAGGAGATGCCCCTGCAGTTTGTCTTCCTCTGCGACAGCTCAGGTTAGCTGGAAGGTGGGTGGCACTTGAGAGGGAAGGAGGTCAGGTCCCCTTATCAGCTCCAGTGGGCAGGGCTTGCCACAGGCACGTTTGTGATGTGCATTCTTGGTTTACTGGACATGTCCAGTGAAGCATTTCTCACCAGCAAGGACCACATGAGGACACATAGCCTTAGTCCCACGTAGAAACAGACGCTGGCTTTATGGGTGTGAATGAAAAGAAATTTGAAACCAGATCCTTTAAAAGGCTTAGGAACTGCTGAGAAGGAAAAGACTGGGTCAGAGCACTGTAAAACTGGGCTTACGTAAGATTAAATAGGCACAAAATTATGACACACGCACGGTACATGATTACATTTGTGAGCTAGGGTAACATGAAGACAAGGAAAGAGCACAGGTAGGCAGGGGCTGGATTTCCACTGTTTGTCCTACAGGTCTTGGCCAGCACTCTGGGGCGGAGAGCGAGGCTGACCCATGGGCAAGGTTGGGTTCCTGGCACGGGTCTGCCCCTCTCTGGCCTTGGCCTTGGGCGCCTCATCTGGAAAACGGGCCAAGGGACCTGGTGGGGGGCACTGCAGCCAGGGCCGAGCTGCTGATGAGCGTGAGGCGGGAAGCAGGGAGCCGCTGGAAGCTGGTAATTAATAAATGAAATGCCCTGGGACTGCCGCTGAGCCGCCTCACATGACATATCTGTCGCAGGCTCGGCAAACCATTAAATGACCATTTTCTGACAGAACGACTTCCCCGCCGCTGAGCTGCCATGACTTGCCAGGGGACGCATTTTCTCTTCTTGCCCTCTCTTCCCTTCCATCCTTCTCCCCGGCCTCGCCCCCTCCCTCCGCCTGAGACTGCCCTCCCAGCTGGACTGCACGCCCCAGGGGCCTGTCTTTCCTGTCTATGTGAGTGCTCTGTCTCTCTGTCTCTGAGTGCATTGTCTCTTCACCTCTGAGTGTTGGTGAGTCTTGGTTGGTGGCTGGCTGTCTCCTCCCTTGCAGTCTCTTGGTTTCTCTGTCGGTCTATCTCTGTGTCTCTCTCCTCCCCTTCCACCCCACACCTCTCCTCTCTCTCAGATCTCCTCTCTCCCTGCTGCCCCTTTCCCCACCCCCTAGCTCCTGGCCCACACCGCCTGCCTCTCCCCAGCTGTATCTGGTTGATCCCCCCAGCCTCTCTCTGTGTCTGGCTCAGCCTTCCCCCATTCCCACTTCCCCCCTCCCCGGCTGCCTGACGGCTCCAGTTCATTTCTGCCTGTTTAATTGGGCCCCGGATGAGTTTGGTCGACAGGGCCATTCATCATGTGGCCGCGGCTGGCGGCGGAGCCCGGGGGAGCCGGGCTGACAGCTCCGCCAGGCTGGGATGCGGCCTGCGTCGGGAAGTTCACATATTTGGGCATTAGTGCAGCTATTAGTTTAACAAGCTTCGTTTATCCTTGTCACTACCACTTCAGCTTCCCATGTAATCATTTGAAATGTAGATTACAGCCAGACAAATGGGACAGCGCAAGACACAAGGGGTGGAGGGAGTGACACACAGCTCGTTAGGGCCACCTTCCCAGCCCCATCCCTTCCCGAGCAAGGCTTTGATTAGCTTAATATTCACATGATCTGGGTGGGAAGCACCAGTCACCTATGCCGAGTCCAGGCTCTGGGTGGAGGTGCCTGGGGTGCTCTCAGTTGAGAGTCCAGGGTCTGCTAGGATACAGTCCTTCAGATCTAAATGCCCCCCCCCCCAGGAAACCTGCCAGTGGCCAGGTTAGAGTCCTCTGGCACCACTTCTGGATGGGGCTGCCTCCCAGGAGGAGGCAGTTCCTAGCCAGAGCCTGGCTTTCCCTTCCCTTTGATTTTGGCAGCCTCAATCCAGAGCTACTCATCTTTCTGCATGGCCCAAGCAACACCTGACTCAGTCTCACGTCCACATCTGGAAAATGAAGGTTCTGATGACCTCATGTGAGCCCACCTCTTCTGTTCTCCTACAAGACCAAGATAACCAACCACGAGTCCTCTGATAGAGTCACCCGCCTGCAGCTTGTTTCTCTCTGCGCAGTGTAGACCAAGGGCTCTTACACAAACACAAGCCTGGCTGTGCCCAGGCACCCTAATGGCCCTGGTTAAAGACAGAATCCTGTTGTAGGGCTTGTGTCGGGGGAGAGGAGCTAGAGATCTAGCACTGTCCACTGTCTAGCACTCTCTCTGGCCACCCCTCCTCTGTTTATCTGAGTGTCTAGCAGCTGTGAAAGTCCCACGTCTTCCCACCTCTGGGATTTTGTACTTGATTCTTCCACCAGGAGCCCCCACTGTCCGTTCCCCAGCTCTCTTCCCCAGACATCTCTTCCTCATCCATTTGTTCTCAGTTTGGCTGTTTCTTCCTCCAGGAAACTTTTTCTCCCCAAGCTGCTTCTCCTACATTCTCCTCAGTTCCTCCGCTCCCTACAAGAGCTCTTATATCACGGAAGCAAACCGGCTGTTGGTTTGTGTCCTCTACAGAACTATAAATTCTGAGTTCAGGTCCTGCTTAACACAGAATCTGGCTCCTGGAAGCTGTCCAGCCAATATTTGTTAGAAGAACTGAGCAAGCAGTAATGTGTCTGACAAGCTTCCATGGACAGGCAGCCACAAACCAGTGGTCCTCAGGGAACAAGTTCATTATGCCCTGACTCCTATTTCCTGGCTCCCTGATCCTCACTTATCCTGATGGCTCTTCCTACCCCCGAGTTATACATGTACCTCTGAAAGATCAGGTTCTGGTTTCCATGGGAAAGCTTCCTCTGAATCAGTGAAGGTCCCCAGGGAAAATGATCAGTCTCCTCAAGAAGTTTAGCTGAGGAGCATTTAATGATGAGCATTTAATGAGGAGTCTATATGTAGAGGTGTGAGCAGGCTCAAAAACAATATAGAATGGAAGGGCTCAGGGGAGGACTGCTAACACCCTGAGCCTAAGGACAAGAGGCAGGAAAGGTAGCTATTACCTTGAGAAGGACCAGAAGCTTTACAAGAGGGGCGGAAAGAAGATGGAACTCTAGAAGGTAGCTACTGCTGGAATTGAGGGAGAGGGAAAGAAGTGGGGAACAAGCCATTTGACTTCTCGCTCTTTTTTCTCTCCAGCTTCCCAACAGCGCTAGATCCTTCCAACCAGAATCTGCATGATTTGGGCCACAGAGGTCACCCTGGCTGGGTACAGGGCAAGGTAGACCAAAGTGACGGAGCTCCCAGGGTTGAAAAATGCACATGGCAGCCAGCCCCTCTGCAGGGAGCCCGTGGTCATCCCAGGAGAGAAAAACATGTCTCACACAAAACAGCCACAGAAAAACATATCTCAGGACCAATGGAAGAGGACTCTGCATGGTGTGGACATGATCATCAGCTGCCTTTTGTATTCATTCCTTTGCTGTCACATTTCCCTGCCCAACCCAGCTGCTCCAGAGCAGCCCCAAACTCCTGGCTTCTTATTCGCCCC